GCTCCATGATATGATCTGACATCCAGTATATCTGATGCATGTCTAAGATTGATTAAGACACGATCAATTTGAAAGTTGTCACAATATGGAGATCTTCATGTCATTTTGTGTATACGTTTGTGTGGAAAACAAGCACTGCCCACCATCATATCATGTTCTGCAGCAAAAAATATGAACCTCTGTCCATTAATTTTTGAGTCGCAATGTAGGCTGTGCCCACCAGTGGTGGGTCTGAACGTGTTTTCTTTCCCAATCTTGGCATTTGCATCACCCAACACTATTTTTTTTATCATGTTTGGGACTGGAAGAATACAATGCAATGCATGGATTTTTTCGTAAAAAGTACCTTTCTCTTCCTCATCTTTATGATATGTTGGAGCATGTATATTTATTATGCTGTAGTTGAAGAATTTGCCTCTCAATCTGATCTTGCACAGCCTAGGCGATTTGCCCTCAAAATCAGTGATAAGATGTCTAATCCTCTTGTGAACAATGAAGCCTGTTCCAAACATGTGTTTCTTAGGATCGCAACTGTAAAATATAGTGTGGTTTCTGCTATATTGGATTCCCTGTCCAATCAATCTCATTTCTTGAAGGGCTATCAAATCAAACTGTCCATGATTTCCATTAAAAAGGATAGACCCTTGCTTCTGTAAAGCGAGCGTAAATTCCATGTACTCAATCTCAAATCCTTAAAATCCTTTACAAGTTGCCTTTTTATTGACAGTCCAGAAAATTCTTCCTTTGATTTCATAACAAAAGCTTTTTTTGCAAGGTGAGGTAGTTAACATCATGCCCAACTCTCAACTTGGAGGACCAGACCTCCAAATTTATAAACCCGCTGGATGCAGGGGTGCCCAGCTATACCCCTGGACAGTGGGTGCCCATTTTATCGCCTTTTATGACATGCATGAGCTACATTGGGACTATTCTTTCACACCTGGTCACCACATGGGTTAAACATATTTTAACAATGTAAAATACAAATTTTAATTATTAAATAAAGATTACATGAAACATTAAAAAAATAAATAAATAACACACTTAACATTCTTCACCAAATTTTCTACATTTTTTCCCAATTGCACAGCAATCTGTTTTCAGTTAAAAAATCATACAAGAACTGCAGAGACCACACTAACTTTGACAACACTGGCTATCAACCAACCACATCTTCTTGTTATCTTTAGAGATTTCACTGTAGAATTCTGTATTCCTGTTGAAATTTTATTGCAGTTTCTTCCATTGCTAGTAAATTTCCCAAGCACACATTTAAATTAAGGTAAAATTATCATATGTATTTTTAGAAACCATTGGAACTTGAAATACAAAGAGAGGGCATTTGAAAATGGTGATATTGCTTGATTGAAGAATTATAATGAGCATGATTATGCACATGGCTGCCAGAACTTGGCATATTCTGAAAATCTGACAACTCTGGTTGTGATAACAAGTTGTCATTGCTGCAGTTTTTGTGATGTTTATGTTGTTCTCTGATGTTTTGTCGAATGAAAACTTATTGCTGTGTAGTTGGGAAGAACACTACAAAAAAATTATGAAATTACCCCCAAAAATTACGAGAGAAGAATAATGCTAACCATATCGTGCCAAGGTGGTTGCATTACTACTTAAGTACCCAAAAATATTTTAAACAATGCAAATACTTATGTTTTGACATTTTTAAGTGCAATGAAATAAATTTTGTAAAAATTATGAAATCTCATTTTTTTAATGCATTCTTCCAATCCCTATATTTATATTTAAAAAATTTTTTGTATGTTATGTTATATATATATTATATAATCTATAAATAAAGAAAAATATTAAAAAAAAAATTGACTCCCATACAATAAAAAAATGACTCCGATATTTAATTTGATGTCCTTTTCAGTTTGCATTAAAGGGTCAGTTATTAAATATACTAGCTTTACCTGTGGCTTCTCTCACATGGAGTTGAAACTTATGTCCTTAAATAAGTTTCAACTCCATGTGAATTTTAAAAATACACACCGCGTAAAATTTCAACAAAATTCCCGCATAAAATACTCTTCTTCAATACCTATAGGCTGCAGATATTTTTAATTTTGTACCAAAGGGTTATTTTTAAAAATAAAGAACGTTTGAGCGCCTTAAAATGATAAAACGATAGAACACAGTAAAATGTAAAAAATATAAAATGTAAATGCAATTTTTCAAGCAACAATAACAGAAATATTTAACACGAATGAATAGATCTTTAAAAAAATATGAAACAAAACATTAAATATATCACAAAAGTCGAAATGTTGATAATAGTTTCGAGAAGTTAATTAGAAGTCAAGTTATTAATTTTTAAATGATTTTCCATGTGTAAATCCGTGAACTTCAACCTTTTTGCCAACCCAGTGGTTGACCGGATAGCAGCTACCCCCCCCCCCCTCCGTTGCTTTCGAATCACAGCCTGTCAACAAGAGTTAACATTAGCAAGCGGAGTATTGTTTCATCTGTGATTAAGCTGGAAATAATTAAGCAACAAAAACAGTTACACCACCATTGTTCCTATCATTCAGAGTGTGACAGAAGTTTCTAAATTTCGAGAAATTTGGATAATTAGATCAAAAGTTATAATTTTTATTACCAATTTTTTGGACTCACATGGGAAGACCTAAGAAAAAATCCCTAATGCCGCTATTAAGTCTCATTCAAATTAGAGTTTTCAGAGTTTTTAATTAATATCTCAGCTGATTAAAGTTGTATGAAGATGAGAATGGTATCGATGGGTTCCGACGAATTTTTGGAATCAGGGGATATGGGTCTCGAAATTCAATCAACTGCCATTCCATAGATATTTTTAAAAAATTAAATTGGCACGTAGCCAAATCCCTTTAATAGGGAAAAACCCAACAAAATAAGTGAAAAATGTAGGGGAAAAGTAGTTTATAATTAATATCTCGGCTAAGTCGTATGAAGACATTTTATAGCCTATAACCTTTTCTAATATATCAAAAATATTTCTTGAAAATTTCATGATGATTGGTTAAGTAATTAAGGCAGGAAAGCATAACAAAGACACAAACTCGCATTCTCATTTGTAATATTAGTAAGGATATTAGAATAATTCAAGGCTGATTTTACCTCTTAAATGTTATTCAATGATATTCTTTTGAATTTATTAGTGTCTTTATTTATAATTTTGTTATATTTTGTATGCCAAAACAATTTTAATGCTAGTAATTTGTAAGTTTTCAAAGTCTAAAAGTATGTTATCAGTGTTACATGAGTATTATCAAAGTTATATGTTGTCAATGTTACATGAGTAAGTAATTGGGTTTATTACTTTAGAACTGTAATCTGGTAATCATAAAAAATTAAAATTACAAGTAGTTTCCCTTTTTAATTAACGGAAATAATATTACCAGATCACCATGTGCCATTGCTGAATCCTGCCAATATTTTCTAGAATATGAATTCTATGAGATTTTGTTAGTAAGATTTCCATTTTTTAAAAAAAAATTATATTGATCAATACTTTTCAAAATAATTTGCATAGAATTGGTCGTCACTTAATCTATTAACATAAAAAACCTTTTCTAAACAATATTTTATTTTTAGTTATATATAAATTCAAACATTTAACTTTTCATTTTGTGTATAGTCCCTCTACATGATCACCAATTTAATTATCAAATTATTAGTTAATTATTGTTGTACAGAAGCTAAACATTTTTATTTTATATTTTATAAGGAGTATAAAATTTTTTTAGATATAAGTATAGGGACTGGAATAGAGTGGTTCTCAATGTATTTTGCCCCATGCATCCCTTTTACCATTGTTAGAAGACCATTTCACCCTTTTTTCCAAAACTCGAAAAACACACATGGACATTTATTTAGATCTAGATTATTTTTAATGTGTTTTATGAACGAAACAACAAAAAATATAGAAAATGTTGATAAATACCAAAACTTGGATAAAAGTAGCTTTTGATATAGATATAATAACTTGCTGAACAAGTATTAATTTAGAAGTCAAGCAACAAGAATCAGCTTTTGATGTTTATAAACTATAATTAAGTACTGAACAGCTAAATAAAAGGCTGACTGCATTCCTCTCCTGAGACTATGAAATTCCCCTTTCCAGAAAAAATTTCTTTTCTAGTTGAGAACCTCTGTTATAAAATTCTAGATTTTGTAATTTTTTACTAACTGATATTCTAAAATTTAAAAATGCCAAAACATGAATATATTTGCATCATTTGCATATTCGCTGCCATCTATATGAATACTCATAATTGGCCAACTTAGTGTATTTGCCAATTTGAGATAACTCATTACTGATTGCCGTACCTAAATCATCAAGTGTGAGTATTGCCCTAGCTTAATACTCAAAATGCAAATGCAGTAACTAAATGTTGACTAATGCAAAATCTCTCTCTCTTTTTCTTTGGTTTTTGTTTTGTTTATTTATTAACTTCAGAAATATATTAAATGGACTGTTCAAATTCTTATTCAATGACTTGTGTAAAATTAATGGTAAATATATGTTGCTGATGAAATAATCTTGCATAATGCACAGAATGAGTACTGTTTATCTTCTGAATCTCATAAATGGCATGGGGAAAAAAAATATTATTTTATATGTTAACTACAAGTAAATTTGTGTGAATTTATTTCCCACGAGTATGCTCATTGTGCTATAAGTAATCTGTTATAGCCATATTTAAACAATAAAGCAGCAGAAAAGAATTTAAAAGCATAAAAAGATAGATAGGATCTTGGCATGTGTGAATGGATGCATCCTATTAGCTTTGGCAGCAAAAGTGTCGAAACATTTTTGTAATTGGAAGTATATGTCTCCGACAAACAGTTGTGAAAATTCAGCCCGGGTAAGGATTTTTGTGGACACAGTGTACAGATTTTATATAGTTTTTTTTTTTTAATTTATCAATTTATAAATATTTTAAACATTCAAAGAATGCTTTAATCCATAATCAGTTCAGTAATTCTAATTTTCATTTTAGTTTAAAGAAAATCATCCGGAGGTGTATTACCTGCAGTTTCCTGAAAAACTGGATGAACATTCATCAAAATTGAAGAAATCTTTTTTAAACAGACTAGTGAATTTACGAATATAGCAGGTCTAAAAAATAATAAAAGAAACGAAATACTGCAAATAATGTTAAAACTATAATATAATAATCAATCTCAAGTAACAGGTTTTGGATATGAGAAAATTTCATAATTTATTTGCTGATATTCTTATGCTGAGTATTTAATTAGCACATATTACTGATATGTGATGGAGACAAACAAAATTTAATATTTCTTGCATTAAGTATGTACTTAATGTTAGTTTACCATTTTGATAGGTTTGTTACTGTAATTTCAATAATATATTTTTACATCATTAATAATATGTTTTATTGTGCAGATTCATAATTTTTTGCTATATCATGGTTTTGTGCCATAGATATTTTTAATTGTGTTGTCAGTCATTGCAGAAACTATATTTACTTTTTATATATGTAAAGAGATTTTAATTTTATAACTATATATTTTTAAAAAATTTATTTTGCTTTTTATAAAGCTAGAATTTTTTAAATATAAGAAATATAAAAAAGTAAAATATTTAGTTTCATAATAGTAATAAATGCATTAAAAGATTATTTAATATAGAAAAGTGAGTTTTGAAAGTTTTGCATTAATATTTATAGGATTATTTTATTCTAATAATAATAAGTAGGATAAAGTGAATTTGCATTTGAAAATACACATTATCAGTTTATTCTGCATTTCAAAGCTGTTAGTTTACATGCAGATATGAAATCAAAATGATTTAAATTGAAATAAGATTAAGTGAATTGACTGTAATTAAATGCCTGGTAGAAAATATAATTTTTTTAATTGTTGCTTTAAATTTGTGAAAGAATAGTTTAATAGCATGATTATGATCACCCTTATGATTTTTTTATCACTTGAAATATGTAGTTGCCATAAAATGCCAAAATATTGTCAGTTCTGTGCCATATTTTTTTTTTTTTTTTTTTAAGCAAGAGGGAATATTGTTTGTATTCCACAAGAAAATAGGGAAAATGTGTTTTTTTTTCCCTTTAGCAATAAAAACATAAAATATTTTCTTGTTAAGTGTGAAAAGCTGCCAAATGTTTTTATCCTAAAGTGAGACTTTTGTCAGTTGCATTCATTTGCAAATTGCCATAGCTATATATCCCATACTAGTACATTATACATATATGTGCATTTCTGAGCACTATTTAGGTCTTTATTTTGATTTTTAATCAGATATCCATTTGATACATTTAATTCATAAGTTTTATAAACATTTGCATTCTACAACTACTAAATAATATTTCTGACATCTTTTATTGATAACTCAACTACAGAAAAATCATCTGCTGTTGACAAATTTGTTGCATTTTTTTTAAAGTGACTTTAACATTTACTTATTTCCCCCTTATATCTATAATTTAATATTTGATCTTTTTGTATCATTTCCTCAGATTCTTATGAGAACTGAAAGAATATCTGAAATTAAAAGTACAGTCAAAAGTCATTAATTCGGACACCCATAATTCGGAATGATCTATAATACGGACCTCAAAGCTAAAAACTTTCTGCGCATGCGCCGCGTTGACACATGCGCATAGGCGTTTACGCGTTCGCGTAAGACCTTTTACGACTGCGCATATGAGTGTGCGCAAGTGCAGAATATGTTTTGCGTGCGCGTTTTATGTATAACGAACGGTAGAAGCTAAAATTATCTAATTATCTATTTCAGTTAATGTTGATGATTACGTTGTTCCTTAATTTTCGAATTGGATCCGGCTTATTATTTTTTGCAGACTGTAAGAGCAATACTATAAAAGTAAACTTGAACTTTCGATTATGTCAAATAGAATTTCCGATTCTGGAGCTCCCAAAGGATCGTACAAAACGAAAGTATGTTTCGATGTTCATCAAACAAAAAGTAGAATTGCTGCAAGAAATGGATAAAGACATGAAGAATATGACAGAGAGGTTAGTGAAAACGAAAAAATTTCGATTGACAAGTTAGTCGGTATTCTCGGCACAGCAATTAACGGGACTTGAACAGCGGAACTTCATAACTGAACAAGAAATTATGTCTGTTTATAGAATTAAAGAGAAAGTATTATCACATAAAACAAAGCAACTTACATTGAAAGAAATGTTTAATAAAGTAAACAAATAAATATTAAGCTTTTTTTTTTTTTTTTTTTTTTTTTTTTTTTTGTAAATTTTGATACCCTTTAGATCATAATTGTTCTTTATTTCATAAATTATGGTTTCATATTTTTAATTTTAGAATTTCTGCATGCCATCTTACGAGATTTAAACTGATGATCTATAATCCGGAATCGCCGAAGTCCCGACGAGTCCGGATTAACGACTTTTGACTGTATTTGGCGATTGCCAAATAAGAGGGTAAAACTTTAATATCCAATAATATTTAAATGATGCATTACATATATTTAAGCATCAAGATATGTATATTTTAGCTATTGAATTGATATATTTATATCTGAATTGATTGTTTGACCAATTGATTTTTTTTTTTGTTACAGTGGTAAAAGTTTTTTTTTTTTGGGGGGTGTTATCCATTGTACTAAAAGAATATGAAACAGTAAACCTTTCACTTAATAATACTTTCTGTTAAAATCTGTATATTAATACAGTTATTTTATATATGAAAATACATAATTAGAGTAAAAATACTGTATTTAAATGCAGCTGCTTTTTTTTTTTTTTTTTTTCCCAATCACATGAAAATAAGGTTTTGTTACAGTGTTATAGGCTGAGCAGTATTTTGAAAAGTGCAAAAAATAATTCAAAATACTTGGTTAATGATAATTTCTGTGGGAAAAAAAAAAGTGTTTTTTCAACATTTGAATGCTATTTACGGATCGATTTTGACAATGCTAAGAGAAAATTTATAGTTGTAGAATTGATTGCAAAGTATTTTTTGTGCTTAAAGTAAGTTATAATAAATTCCTGTTGTTGAAAATTAAATACTTTTAACCATTTATGTGTTGTATTACTCTTCCTTAATTTAAGTTGGAAAAACTACATAAGCAAAATAATACTAATGATTGTAACTTCTATTTTTTGTTTCTCCATGAATGGCAATGTTGTTTTATGCATATTTAACTTTGTATCTGACTTTGCATATTTAACTTTAATTTTAACTATGAGCAAATTATCAATATATTTTGCATGTTTTCACGTATGGATAGTAAAACACTTTCTGCTATTGCAGCTGATCTGAAAACAACAATTTTTTCCCTTGTTCATTTTTTATGAGCAAATTATCAAAATATTTGGCATGTTTTCATGTATGGATAGCAAAGCACTTTCTGCTTTGCATCTCATGTGAAAACAAGAATTTTCCCTTGTTCATTTTTTTATCAATATGAAGAGTATCAGCTAAATATTTTTAAAAAATAAATAATGTTATAAGAATATAAATAAAAGCTGAACCTTATTTAAAAGAGGTTAGTATAATATAGAATAAAACTGAAATCTCTATATCTGAAAACATAAGAAATTTAAACTAGATGTATAGTTAATGCCTGATAGAATGTTAACTTAAATAGTTAAAATAAAACTGGCTGGGAATGCACACTTAAGTTTTAAAATGTTAAAATGAAATCATTTTGATCATGTAGTTTTCCTTCATTAAAAAGGTAAATTAGAATCTGCTTTCAATAAAAGTTACAATCTTTGTTTCTCTCTCTTTCTTTTTTGATAATAGTGAGATAAACTAAAATCTTATTCTCTGACTCTCTTTCTTGAAAGATGTTGTATATATTAAGAATATAAAAGTTTAGAACAAAGATAAAATTAGTATTTTATAAATAAAAATTAAGACTTTTTTCACTCTTGCATTTGTAACTACTGAAGTAATTTTTAACATTTGTTTTCAAAGTACAAACTTTCAAATTTGAATTTTTTTTATGTGCTTTGTGTATGGAAACTACTTGATTTTTATTATTTGCTATCACAAACTACTGTAATCTTTAAGATCTATTTTATGTTCCTACATTTTTTTTTTAAATGTATTGCTTCAAAGTATCTTCTAAATATAGATCATGTCTGCTTCTTATATTTCTTGAAATTTATTGCTATATAATTTGATCTAAAAGTATATATTCATTTATAATTGTATAAGAACAAAGTATGCATTATATTGTATTAGTTGAATATAATTCACTTTTTGAATGCGGTAAACTATGCTAATGCTGTCCTGCCCTGTCAAGCATGCCATCTATTCAAAATGTACGAACTGTAATTAATTGTTGAAATTTTGCTTAAATTTATTTACAGCTGGTAGATAATATTTATCGTAAATATTCAAAATACCAAATTTTGGTATCAGAATTCCATTTAATAAATGGTGAATAAATTGTAATAATCACAGTACTTCATATTTATGATTAACTATGATGAAATCTAGCTATTTCTAACTCTTTTGTGCAGTTTTCCTAGAATTTGTTTACATGATAGCACTAAAGTATAAGATTTTTTTTAATGAAATACCTAGTTATTTCATAAAATAATGGATGACATAAGTTAAAGCATAAAATATACTTGTACTACATGTTAAACTAATTATTATGTAGAATAATGGAATGCACCTCTTAACTCTTTATGTCCCAAATTACTTTATTTTTTAAAAAACAAGTTTGAAACTCTTTTTTAAAAAATTTATGCATGCGAAACATTTCATATTAAATTTACAAAAATGTTAGAGTTTTAAGATTTTTAAAAAAATTTAAAATTGGGTCTTAAAGTTATTTAAGTCCCATTGGTACATAATTCTAACCATATAATGTGGTGCTAGTAAGGAACAGGTTGAATACAAAGGAAAACTTTTAATTTTTATTTCACTTATTCATTTCAATTAGAAGATTTTTGATATATAACATCTACGAACTGACCCAGTCCCGTAGGCGGTCGGTAACTGTACTTCTAGTTTTTGACTGAGCACTTCTTTGACTTTTGAGAGTGACATTTTGGGTTATGCGGTAAGCATGTCCTTTTTTAGGGTAGTTAATACAGATGATGAAGTCAGCGATTGTACGGATTCTGGACTCGCGACTTTCTCGCTGCCATCTACTTCAAAATATGAAGAATTTTTGAAGGGCCCCAGACTCATAAAAAACGTGAAAGCAAAAAAGGATAACGCTGTTTCAGAGAAGGAATATGCGAATGAGGAAGGAACCCAAGGGGGGAAAATACAGAAATTAATGCAGAATTATGGAGAGGAAAAAATACAGCTGCTTTTACAGGAATTCGGAACTGAACACTCGATGCACCACAGGGAATTCGAAAAACAATTAAGGGCTGCTAAATGTTCGGAAGAAGTGGGCAATTTCGCGATGGATTATGCAAAGAAAACCTCCAAGCTAAACAGCAAGAGACAGAGAACAGACCAAAACGCCACTCTCC